CAGGTAAAAGGATGGGAGTTGGAGACTATCATGCTAAATAAAGTACAATCCCCCAAAACCAAAGGCTAAATGTTCTCTCTGATAAGTGGATGGAAGTGGATGGTGATCCATAATACAGTGGGAAGAATGGAGGAACTTTGAGTGGGCAAAGGGGATAAAGGGAAGGGGAGGGGACATTGAGGTAGGAAAGATGATGGAATGAGATGAACATCATTACCCAAGGTACATGTATGACTACACATGTGGTGCAACTCTACATTATGTACAGAGAAATGAAAAGTTGTGCTCCATTTGTGTACAATGAATTGAAAATCTTTCTGCTGTCATGTAAAAGTGATTGTAACTAATAAAAAATAAATTGGAAAAAAAATGTTCATCCTTGGTCCAATATTGTGTTATGTTCTAGAATTTTCCTCTTGTGCAGGCCACTTGTGCTTAGTCTGACTCACAGAGACAGATTATATTCAATTTGTCTCAGACAGCATTTAATTAAAGCTACTTGACCAGAATTTTAAGCATAAGGATAAAAACCATCTGTAGTATTAACCACACTCAGTTCTCTTATGATTCCAGATTCAGCTAACTTGGAATAAATCCCAGAATATAGACAACAAGGATATAACATATAATCCATTATGATCCAGACATGGGAATTTGGAGTGATGAGCCAATCTTTGGTTTAATCATCAAAAAAGAGACCAAAACCTAACCATTATTCCCAAGAGAGAGATTTTCTATGACCCATTTTCCTCAATCAAAGTATAAATATTAAAGGGAGAGGTTAACCCTATTGAGGATTTATAGCTAAACTGTATTTAGATTGATATTGCATCACCTTGGTTAAACTAAAGGAGCAGTGTTACTGAATATCTGCAACCTCTGTAGGCATTCATGGACTAATCAGTACTGCTCAGATACTATGAGCAACATGTATTTGTATTGGTCAGATGAAGAAAATGTGCTGATTCTACTGATTGTACAGTGTGGGAATGCACCTCCAGGCTGGGAAGTTGCTCTTGATTAGTAGAATAACTTAGCAGAGGCCAACTTTACATGAGTTTTCAGTTTTCATGGAAGGCAATGACAAAGAGAAGCAGGTCAGATTTCCAGCTGCAGCTGCTGCTTCACTCCAGCAAATCATGTCATTACTGTGCTGGGTTGTGGTGCTTGCTTTGGCACAGAAAATATTAATCTCCTGCCCCATTCCATCTCCAAGGATCTAGGATTTTCCATTGCCAGATGACAGGATAATTTATTTTTCTTTACCAAAACAAGATAAGTGTGCTCTCTTTGCTTTATTTTTTTATTTTAACAGTAATTTCCTAGTCACACCCAAGCCTGTTGTCTAGAAGGAAAAGAGCAACATGTATTTTCAAGACATGTACAGAAACCCATGAGAGTCACTATCTGGCTCTCTTGGGATACTGTACAGGAACTCAAGTGGAGTAAACTCAAATAAATTATCAGTTTTATCTAGGATCATGTTTACCAGATGGGTGAGTCCAGGTTCAACAAGAATCCTGTTTTAAGACCATTTTGACCAGATTGCTAGAAGGAGGATGTACCAATCACATTGGCCCCAGGTTTTATATGAAAGAAAGAAAGAAGCATCATGCTCTCCACTTTTAGAAAGTTGCAGTAGATATACTTTCTTTTACTTCTCCTGTTACATACAGCTAAAAGTCCTGGATATTATTTAAAAATGAAGCCTAAGAAGACTCAAAAATGAGGAGAAAAGAAGGGAGACACACTTAGGAGCCTGGGATCTGAAAATGATAGACTGGTGAGTTCTATGAGTTTTCTTTGGCTTCATATAACCCAGTTGGATCTTGCAGAAACAAGGAACCTGGAAATGACAATGGGTACAGAGAAAAATCTCCAAGAAAATTCTGCTCCCTATAGCAAAAGGCCCACAAAAAGGATAGCCTCACAATTCAGAAAACTTTAAGACAGTAAGTAGTCTACTCCAGCCAAACACAATATAAAGTTTCTAGCAACCAAGAAAACAATGATGAATAAAATAATGAGGTCTGTTGGGAAAACTTGGTGATGTTTTAACTTACATTTGCCATGTTTTCCATCACTGGCTCTAAGGTAGCATTTACATGTCAACATACATTTCTAGTGTGGGTTTCTGGTACTGTTGGCAACACACTGGGCCTTGTTTTCAAAGAATAGTGATCAACTACTTTGATCTGTCCAGTGGATCCTTGAAGGTCTAATACAAATAGCTTGTCTGTATTCCAGATAATCCAGATATCAGGCCAGAGAAATGGCTATGCAGAGGAAATTATTTCAAAATTAAATTCAATAGAGGGACTTAATAGGATATTTGAGCACAAAAGAAAAATCCTCAAACTAAGACACAGATCAATTGAAATTATATTGTTTAAGGAACAGAAAAATTAAAGTGAAAAAAATAGCCTAAGACACCTGGGGAATACTTCCACATTGTATAGGCATAAGTATAATAGGAATCTGAGATGGGTAGAGGAAAGTTAAGGGAAAGGAAGAATAAATGAAGAAATAAAGACAAAAACTCCTCAATTTTGATGGAATACATGAAATTACCCATCCAATAAGTTCAACATGTGCTGAGATGATAATTGCAAAGAAATCCCCATCTAGACATATTATAATCAAACTGTTGAAAACAAGAACAGATTAAAAATCTTGAAAGTCATAAGAGAGAAGTGACTACTCGCATGTAGGAATTCTTAACAAAATTGACAGTCAATGTCATGTGAGCTATCATGTAAACCAGAGACAACCAAAGAAGATAGTTGAAAGAAAAAATAATGTCAACCATTGCTTATACATCTGACAAAACTATTTTTCAAAATAAAGGAGAAATTGAAATATTTCAAAATACCCAAGACTTGGGATGTTTTTATCTGCTTACAAGAAATTCTAAGGAGAGTCTTCCAAGGCTGAAATTAAATGGTACATGGAAGTAGCTTGGAACCATACAGAAATCAGGAACATGGTAAAGGCAATTACATGGATAAATAGAAAGCCAGCATTTTTTATTCCTATATAATTTAATGTTGGTACATGTGATAATATCCCACAGGTATCTTAGTGCAACTTACATATTTCAAATGGAACCCAAATTAGTAGCATTTATCTTAATTTATGAATTGCCTGTGGAGGGGAAATAGCTTTTCAGTATCTTGTGGATCACAAAACATATCTACACAATTTACTACTGCAGAAAATAAAGACTGCTTAACACAAATGAGGGAAAGAACTGTGGTTTTCCTTTTTGACTGATTTCCATAACACTGCCCTGCAAGCACCCAAAGTATTTTCACATTTCTTTTAGACATCATTAAGCACAGAGGCTTTTTCAGGATAAAACTGATGCTAGATGAATTCTGTCATGTTGTCAGCACTGATGTGACCCTTTGATTTACCACCACATTAGACGTATTAACCCATTTATATTATTTGGCACAGATCTTTAAAAAGGGGTGCATTTCTTAAAAGACTGTGCCTTGGGCCCACATCTGATTTTTAGGACTTATGTTTCATTTTCAACACTTTCAAGGCTGAGGTAGCAGCCATCTTGTGCTTCTATCATTTGTACTTTGGTTTCATCTTTACTAAGCAGTGCTATTGTTATTTTCAACAAATGTAACATATTCTTGGAGAAAAAGACCTTGATACAGGCTTCTTCCCTCTTGTTCTGATTCCTGTGCAGCTGGTGGTAATGTGAAGGGTCTGACAGGCCATGGTTGGTGGATGCTGGTTACGTGGCTCTTGAGTAGAGAAGGGCCTGCTGCTTGCTGCCTTCTAGTCACCAGCTTTTGTAACCACATGAAGCAGGCTGCAGGACAAGGGAGGAATGTGAGCTGTATGTGTTTGTATCTCTGTAGACCCAGCTGGGCTTCTGGCTTAGTTATGCTCTGATAGATCTGGCTGGGTGGTTAGTTGGATGCAGATGCAAAAGGGGGAGAGAGATCTGATCCAGAACTTTCAAAGGTCAACCCCTAGATATCAGAAAGGAGAAATTAGACAAACTGGCAACGTTGGGTTTTACTTACAGCCTAGGTATTGAAGGCAGTCCCACCCCTCCTGCATAAACCCAAGTGAGAACTATTTGGACTTATGTGTGTCATTGATGTTAAATGGATAAAATCTTCCAAGCCTCTCTAGTTTCTGACCTTGTTAGAAAACGTTGCCCAGGCTGAGAGCTGAAACCATGCTTATTAAACCAGATATTAAACCATTCTTTTTAAAAACAATTCTGGTGAATTATAAGTAACTTTAAAAATTAGAAATGAGGGAGTGGTATGGGGATGCCTCAATTTGAATTGGATAATATAAAATGCTGCTTGAATTGCAAGATCCTCACACAGATTACTATAATGGAACTGTTATGAATAATTTTCAGCACAGGAAAATAGACATTTGAAATAATTGCTCTTAATCAGAGAAGATGGTTTTTGAACATAAAATACATACACATATACATGTCCCCCCCCCCAACTGACTTGGAACAAATGTTTCTTAAATGTTTAATATAACTCAGGTGACAGGATTTTAGTGTTAATAGTTTACAGTTAAGAAGGGTGACTGGGCTGAGGATGTGGCTCAAGCGGCATGCGTGCGGCCCGGGTTCGATCCTCAGCACCACATACAAACAAAGATATTGTGTCTGCCGAAAACTAAAAAAATAAATGAATAATTCTCTCTTTCTCTCTCTCTTTTAAAAAAAAAAAAAAAAAGGTGACTATCATGAGTCCACAAGATGACAGTATCTTCTTCTCAAGGACCTTTAGGAAAGCTGTCAGGTGCTTCTCTGTGTGTATTGGTGCAGGGTAAAGGGTAGGGGGATGGGAGGGGGAAGGGCTTGTTGGTGTTGCAGGGATGGTACAAACACTTCTATTTTCTAATTGGAAGAATAGATTCTCTTTTTGTTTTCTAAAACAGAAGAATTAGAGACTTCTCAATGAGACTTTTCCCCTCTCACTTTAGGGTTCAACATCTGACTCCTCAGTGAATCAGGGGAGAAAAGAATGATGAAATCCTTGAGTGTTTTACTACTGATCCTGTGGCTTCAGCTGAGCTGTAAGTTTGGGCATTTCTGTGGGAGCGTAAAGGACAATATTTGAAGTTATTCTAGGTCCATGGGTAGAACCATGAATGGTTTTACCTTCTAACTAGGAGTAATTAAAATCCTTGTAGAGTGACCACTACCCAATCACCCTTCTTGAACCATTGTCTTTTTGCACAGGGGTGCACAGCCAACAGAAGGCAGTGGAGCAGAGTCCTGCAGCCCTCAGTGTTCCAGAAGGATCCGTGGCCTCTCTCAACTGCACTTACAGTAACAGTCTTTCTCAGTATTTATTCTGGTACAGACAATATCCTGGGAAAGGTCCCAAGTTGCTGATATCCATATTCTCCAATGGCGAAAAAGGTGAAGGAAGATTCACAACGCAGCTTGATACAGCCAAGCGGCATCTTTTCCTGCACATCAGAAGCTCCCAGCTCAGTGACTCAGCCACCTACCTCTGTGCAGTGAGCACACAGTGCTCCCCAGCCACCTGCAGCTGCACAGAAACCTACTGTCTCAGGAGGCCTGAGGTAGAGCATAGACCACAGAGCAGAGAGTCTTCTGTGCTCTAAATGTGATGGGAATTAAGAGTAATAAACATTGCATTCAGAGTGTAATCCTAAAAGGCAAAGGAAGAGAAGAAGTCATGAAAAAATTCACTTTGGGAAAATTTATAAACCCAAATTATTCTATTTATAAACTCCCATCTCATCTCCACTCTCAGCCGCATCCTCACTCCTGGACATCGGATGGGTAGGAGGAAGGACTAGAGTGAGAGGGTGAGACTGGTAAAACAAGAAGCTCAGGTGGCTGCAGAGATCAGATATCAGAGTGCATGTTGCTCTTCCTGAGTAAAGGCCAAGTGTAACTCAGAATCTCTGGCCTGAGCCTTGATGCCTGTGCACTGGGGAGAGGTACAGAGAGGTGGGGGGCAGCAGTCATAGTCACAGAGAGCACCACAGCACAGGGGCTGGGAGCACACAATGACTCCTAATATGTGGAAATAGATCCATGAGAAAGGGTCTAAAAGAGTCCCAGACACAGGGGCTTCATTCTTAAGAGTGAAATCCTGCATGAGTCAGTTGTCAAAGTTTGACAAGGTACTGAGTGTTTCAGCAAATGTTGGTGAGGAGATTTGGAAACACTAAAGATCATATGAATGTCACCCTCCTCTGTCTCCTGGGCTCTCTGGATTTTGTTTGCCGCTTAAAACAGATCCAGTAAAAATATTTGTGATCTGATGAAACTAAATCTTTGTAATAGATATTAAGGTAAATTACAGAAAAAAATTGAAAATCGTACTTATAGTAAGACTGAAGTTGTAGTTATTAGTCCTGTCACTGACAACATTGTCTAGCAAGTCAGAGAAACTTGGGAATGGGGAATTAAGATTTTTGTTTAATTTTGTTCACATAATCATTGGTTAAATGGATGCAACCCAATCAGAATTTGGTTTGAAATCTCCATCTGAAGAATTGCAAAATGAACAGGTATTTCAAATATGGAAGAAAGATTTGGAAGGTAGTGAGGAAGAGCAGTGTTTTAGGCAAGTTTTTGTTGTTGTTGTTGTTGTTGTTGTTGTAGTTGTTTGTTTTGAGTTTTTTTGCCACTGTGACCAAAATACCTAACAAGAACAACTTAGCAGAGGAAAAGTTTATTGGGCTCACAGTATCAGAGGATCCTTTTATGATTAGCTAACTCCATTACTCCATTACTCTTTGGCCCAAGATGAGGCAGAACATCATGGTGAAAGAGCAGGTGAAAGAGTGCTGCTCTGCTCATAGCTACAAGGAAGGAGGGTGTGGGGAGGAAGGGAGTAGCCAGAAGGACAAGATACAAGCCCAAGGACATACCCCAATTACTTTTCAACTGAAGCATGGCTTCAGTGAATCAGAGTTACCATCCAGTACAGCAATCCTTTCAAATTAGGATGGAATGGTTAGGTCAAGATACTGCCAATCATCAATGCCAAGTTCTCTCCCTCACATGTTGAAGTTTGAACACTAGAGAAGTACACCAAGACAAGCATATAAAGCAGGGCTTATTTAAAATGGGGTAATATAGACTTCTTTGTGGAGGGAGAAGGGAGCCATAGATGGTATCCTGGAATTCCAAGAAGTGAGGATGTGCTGCCTTTTTATATGCCTTAGGCTTTCTTTGCTCTCCTGTTCTCTTACCATTTTCTCTGTCCTTCCTGTGACTAGGCCCAGGAGATGCTCAGTGGAATAGCCAAAAGATAGGCCCATCTGATGCTTGATGAGAAGCAGATGGACAGGGAAAAGGCCAGATGGAGCAGCCCAGGACACATTAATTAACAACTCATAACTTCCTGTAGGGAGAGACAATTCCTGGGACAGGTTACCTCAGCAAAAGTTTGGATAAGGGGCAGATTATCTTGATAAGGGTGGAGGAAGGGCTCTGAAGGAATTTAAAATCCCTCAGGGGGCAGTCTCCAGCCTCCTGGACTCACTCAAATTAGCCTCCTTGATCCAATTAGACTCTATTTACCTATCTATACGGATTGCCTGCTTAATTCTGGCTTCAGTCACAACTCTTATAATCTAATATTTAATCTCTGAATATTCCTACAACAATACAGGAGCTTTTGGAGGACACTTCACACACCTAAACCATAACAGGAAGAAAGTTGTGCTACAATCAAGATGCTTCAATTTTAGCTCCACATTTTGCATATCTCTGACAGCATGGCACTGAGGACAGAGCCGGGGTAGGGCTGGCTTGAACATCTATTATGTTACTAATTGGTAACTTGATTTTATCTGTATCATTATATTTACTTCAGAATTGTTTTTTTGAATTAAATGAAATAGGATGTTATCATAGATTTAGTTCCTAAAAGGAGAGTTTGTATTGAATTTTTTTTGCTCATAATTTGCTGAGGAAAGCAGGTTAAGATGGAGACTGTTCAAGCATGAATGTTGTTCAACTGTAATCTTGAATTGGCCTGATCCTTTTGGGAGCTCTGGGGCATGAATTGTACAGCAGTCCTGATCCCTTCCACCTTGATGTAAGGGGGCCAGACTACTGACATATTGTTCACAAAAATAAAGTATTGAAGTCATTGTCAGTTGTTTTTCCTGGAATTGAGGTATATACTATTGACCAATGGTGACTCTCAGTGACAATTCTGTGGGTAAGTGAGCCAAGAGCAGTCAACACTCATAGCATCTGGTTATTGTTTACACTAGCCTGGGACAGAGAATTTAGGCTGAACACCAACAAAATCTGCTATTAAAATGGAAATTTGCTGGAACATGGGTGGCATTTATTTGCTTAAAGACTTTCTAATTTCTGTATTCTGTTTTTTTCATTTAATAAGGTATCTATAGCTGCTCTTATTATTCTTGAAGAGTTGAAATATTTAACGTAAAGCTTTTGTTAATAGAAAAGATCTTCAATCTAATGTATGAAATATGATATGTCAAGAGCTTTGTAATGTTGTGAACAACCAATAAAAAAAAAAGATAAAATAAAAAATAAAAACTACTCCAAAAAAAAAATAATAATAGAAAAGATCTAAATAAATATACGGGATTATTATTTAAAACTAAGGCTTAGACTTTTTTAAGTGTTTTAGTCAGCTTTTTCACCACTATGACTTATGAACCCAACGTGTACAATTGTAGAGGAGGGAAAGTTTATTTGAGGGCTCACAGTTTCAGAGGTCTTAGTCCATAGAAAGCCGAGTCCATTCCTTGAGGATCAAGGTAAGGCAGAACAGCATGTCAGAAGACTGTGGTAGAGGGAAGCAGCTCATATGGTGATCAGGAAGCAGAGAGAGTTGTATATTAGAGACACTAAGTAGGGACTGGGGTTGTAGCTCAGTGGCAGAGTGCTTGTCTGTCACATGTGAGGCACTGGGTTCAATCCTCAGCGCCACATAAAAATAAATAAATAAATAAAAGATATTGTGTACATCTACAACTAAAAATATTCTTCAAAAAGAGATAAAATGGAATATTACTCAGGAATAAAGAGAATAAAATCATGGCATTTGCAGATAAATAAATAGAGAAGATTATGCTAAGTGAAGTTAGCCAATCCCAAATAATCAAATGCCAAATGTTTTCTTTGATATAAGTAGGCTGATTTATAGTGGGATAGGGATAGGGAGCATGGGAGGAATAGACGTACTCTAGATAGGGCAGAGGGATTGGAGGGAAAGGTAGGGGGAATGGGGTTAGAAATGATGGTGGAACGTGATGATCATTATTATCCTAAGTACATGTATGAAGACACCAATTATTGTGAATATACTTTGTATACAATCAGAGATATGAAAAGTTGTGCTCTATATGTGCAATAAAAATTGTAATGCATTCTGCTGTGATATATAAATAAAATAAATAAATAAATAAAAAGAGATACTAATTACAAATAACCCAATCAACAAATGGGCCAAGGACCTGAACAGACACTTCTCAGAGGAGGATATACAATCAATCAACAAATATATGAAAAAATGCTCACCATCTCTAGCAGTCAGAGAAATGCAAATCAAAACCACCCTAAGATACCATCTCACTCCACTAAGATTGGC